GTAAACAAACACAATTACTGCATCATCACATTACCACCACCGTCAGCAACAACTACACTACTCTACTAACAGCCCCCGGGAGCTCCACACACACACAGCAAGACCAACTTTTGGTGCTCCAAATAAAAGCGACACACACAATTTATATATATATATATATATATATATAGAGAGAGAGAGAGAGAGAGAGAGAGAGAGAGAGAGAGAGAGAGAGAGAGAGAGAGAGAGAGAGAGAGAGAGAGAGAGAGAGAGAGAGAGAGAGAGAGAGAGAGAGAACACGCCTTTGACTTTGCCTCGCGATGAGGTTTTTTGGGGGTCCTTGGGGGAGGGGTTCCTTGGGGGGTCCTGGGAGAGGAAGGGGATGTGGTTCTCAAGTTGGCTTCCGTTGGCAAAGCTCCCCAGATCGAGTCAAGGTAAACAAAGTCAAATTGGCATTGTGCTTGAACAGTAATAGTCTCTGGGGAGGAGGACACACACACACACACACACACACACACACACACACACACACACACACACACACACACACACAGGTGGAAGAAGGGAGAGGAAGTGCAAAATGTAACGGGGAGAGAGAGAGAGAGAGAGAGAGAGAAATGGTAAAGGTTAGAGAGGAGTAAAAGTGAATGGAAAATTAGTAAAGAATAGGAAAGAGGAAGAGGGAGAAGAGGGGTAAGGAGAAACAGAGATAGAAGAAAAGTAAAGAAAAAAGGAGAGGGGGGAGAGAGAAAGAGAGAGACGATGAAGAGTGCATGAAGATCCACTGAGAGGAAGGACAAATAATATAGAGGAGAGGAAAGATAAAAAATAGAAATAAGTGAGAAGGAGGAGGAGAAGGAGGCGGAGGAGGAAAAAGAGAGAAATAGGAGAGAGGGAGGAGGAGGAAGGAGGAGGAAGAAGATATAAGAGGTAAATAAGAGAGGAGGAGGAGGAGGAAGAGATAACAGAAAAATACGAGAAGAGAAGGAGGAGGATAGGAAGAGAGAAATAAAAGAGGAAGAGAGAAGAGGGGAGAGGGAAATATAAAGAAGGGGCTAACGTACTGTGGAAGGTGAAATGAATAAGAACAGGGAAGAGGAAGCCACCCACACAGGACTCCCATGTAAAGGATGCCACCCACAGAGGACTCCCGACTGAGGATCACCGTCACCCAACAAAGGCTTTGAAGACAAGGAGGACCAAGAAGCATTGTTGCTCATACTAACACGAGAGAGAGAGAGAGAGAGAGAGAGAGAGAGAGAGAGAGAGAGAGAGAGAGAGAGAGAGAGAGAGAGAGAGAGAGAGAGAGAGAGAGCAATAATAAGACTTATATGTAAATCAGATGATCAAACAGGTGTGGTAGTGAGGAGGAGAGGCAGCACAGGTACACAAAATTAGTAGGAAATTCTACCACGCAATTTTCCACTAAACAAAATTTACATTGGACAAAAATCCCCTCACTGAAAACCCCACAGAACACGAAGTGAGAGAGAGAGAGAGAGAGAGAGAGAGAGAGAGAGAGAGAGAGAGAGCTTGCCTTGTTATCCACAAACTTGAGGCCTATAGCGCCATACTCTGCTGTAGAAGAACACGCTGAAGAAATCTAGTCGTTAATACAATTTAGGTCCACCTGTTTGGCCATTTACCTTTTACCTGATGTAACCAGTAGTAAAATTTTCACAGGAGTTATTAGGATTATTTGTTATGGTTACAAAATTAGTCAGTCTTAACTCGATTTGAACGCCATTTGAGATCATCGTGGCTTTATTGTAATTATTTAAGCATATTATATACATCGTGATACGAGGTTTTGAGAATCCAGCTTTGTGATTAGTTTACTGTTGACAGGTATCGTTAAGGTATGATGAAAATTTACCGTAGAATTTATCTAAAGAATCTCTGTTTAGATTTCTGTGTGTGTGTGTGTGTGTGTGTGTGTGTGTGTGTGTGTGTGTGTGTAGAGTAATAAGAGTAAGGTAAGAGTGGTAGGGTTGCCAACTCAAGTCTAGGTATTATTATTATTACTGCAGGAAGCGAGCGTGTCATCGTAAGTCTGGGTAATACACGGCTAACCAACGCGCCATTGTTAGGTCTACTTTACTGGTCAATATACATGTCAAACTCGACTTTATTGCAGATTAGAGTGCTATGTCTCTGCCACACTGACGGCCTGTGTATATTACGACTATTTTATTCCCATTATGCCTTCATTACCTCATGATAATTGACTGTAATTTACATAAGTTTATAATATTCTATCTGTCACATCAGTCTGATCATTATATGACAGTATTGATCAGCGATGCAATATGGAAATCTTGTATAGACGCCGCCTTCACACAGTTATACCAGGACTGTCTAAGATACAATATTTACCTGCGCGTGATCTCAACCCACAAGGCCTGGAGAAAACTGATTGAGACAGGCCAACCAGACGGCCCATCATTCATACAACCTGCCGGCAGTTTGAGAACACCCAAGACTTGTGGCCGCTGGGGAGAAACGCCATTAACTCTGCAAGTGAACACTCCGGCAACGACAAACTTCAAGCGCCCGAAGTGTTGCAAGCTATATGTGCTTCCCGCTTTGATCTTCAGTTATTATACACATTTACAACAGAGTATTAATAATGCTGAGGACTCATACGTTGTTATCGGATCAATGAACAAAAACTATGATAATAATGTAGGTAATGATGATAAGTATGATGATAACTACTGTCTCTTGTGTCCTTTACTCCTCCTCCTACCTCCTGTCAGTGGAACGCCCCCCCCCCTCCCCTCTACTTGTTTTTCCTTTTAAATGTAACCTGTGGCTTTTCAAGGCTGGGACCCGCAGGCCACCTAACATCTACACATTGACATAGACTCTTCTCAAGTAAAAAGAATGAAGGTACAATGACGGCAGTGTGTGTGTGTGTGTGTGTGTGTGTGTGTGTGTGTGTGTGTGTGTGTGTGTGTGTGTGTTAAAAAGTAGCACCCAGTAATAAAGGGGTTAAGATAATGCTATTCTACAAGGAAGATGTTTACAATTTGTTCTTATTTTTGCAGGCTTAACTCCCCCATAAACATGTCAGCCAATTACATTACTGCAGCAAGGCCTGGCGACAGTTGCCCGCTTCCTCACTAAGAGAGAGAGAGAGAGGAGAGAGAGAGAGAGAGAGAGAGAGAGAGAGAGAGAGAGAGAGAGAGAGCACCATCCAGCTGTCTAGTAAGTAGTGGTGTAGACTCTATACAGTCACGCCGTACTGTTCCTAGGGTCTGTGTGCTCCTCCCCCCGCCATACTTGTGTCACCAAACTGTTGATAATCTTAGTTGTTTTGTTACAGAGTCAACAGACGATAATTAAACTTGTCAGTGTGGCGAAAAGTCTTCCAAAGAGTGCGGAAAAAAATCGTCGTTACAAAAAAATAAAAAAAACTACCACATGCAAGAACAACACAACGCACATAAAATAAATATTGTAGAAAAATAAATAAATATAAAGGAATGAAAGTTTGTACTGCACAGTTGGATACATTAGTTACTGTAGGACGTAATCATACGGATTTGGCCATGACAGCAAGTGCTTTAGTTCAACTGTTTATGGGGTCACTATCCTAGTGTGTTACTGAAGATAAAAAACAAACTAATAAATATATATAAAATTTTGGAGAGGGTGGGAGGGTGGAGGGTGGAGGGGTGAGGGGTGGAGGGGTGAGGGGGTGAGGGGTGAGGGGTGAGGGGTGGGAGGGGAGAGGGTGAGGGGGAGGTGGGGATGAGGGGTAGGGGGTAGGGGGGGGTGGGGGGTGGGGGTGAGGGGTGGGGAGGGGTGAGGGGTGAGGGGTGGAGGGGTAGGTGAGGGTAGGGGTGGGGTGGGGTGAGGGGTGTGAGGGAGGGGGTAGGGGGTGGGGTGGAGGGTGAGGGGTGAGGGTGAGGGTAGGGGTGGGGGTGGGGGGGGGGTGAGGGTGAGGGTGAGGGTGAGGGTGAGGGTGAGGGGTTGTCCCGGCGAGAAAACTACTCTACAAGTCGTCGTTGGTCCCGCTACCATAACAACCTCGTCTATGTCTCCATCTAATTAGAGTTTTGAGAACGCAAGTAACGCAATACATCAGGTTATGGCACAAATATTTCAGCCAAAATGGTGTCTTAATTACACTGAGACTGTTTCAACTAATTATGTTCTCTTCTCTCTAGTTCTGGCAGCGGGGGAAGGGAGGAGGAGGAGGAGGAGGAGGAGGAGACCTTTATGGAACGAATTTAGGTGAATCAAGACCCAAAACCTAACTGAAAATTATTACGATGGCGATGATGATGAGATGACCCCTCACAGTTACCGTGTGTGTGTGTGTGTGTGTGTGTGTGTGTGTGTGTGTGTGTGTGTGTGTGTGTGTGTGTGTGTGTGTGTGTGTGTGTGTGAGTTTACTGGTATACATATTTTGATGTATACCATTATGAACACACCTTTTACAAATATTCGTATATATGTACATTTATTTTCATTTCTCTCAGTATTTTCCTGCTGGATAAATTTAGTCAAACCAGAACGCTCACTTGTTTTTGCAACTGTATTCATTCATTTGTGTCTGTATTACTCATGCACCCCGACCCTTCCTACATATTCATTACCTAACAGGTTTAAAACTACGGTCAGACCAGCACCAGCCAAAGGGGGTAGAAAGTTGGGTCAAATTTTCAGTGAGAGAAAGATATATTTTACACTGGGTTCTTTTCAATCCTTATCTAATTATATTTACAGTATCACCAGTAGAGCCCCATACTGTAATACACAACACCAGTAGAGCCCCATACTGTAATACACAAACACAGACAAGGACAAACTCATAAATACATACACAATTACATTTTTTTCAATTATATAAGATGTTATAATGATATAAAACAATGAAGAAAATAACATTAAAAACAAACACCATATCAGTTCTCTCTCACCATATTCCTCCGTGTTACTCATAACCCCTGTTCATTATCCCTGACCCCGAGAATCTCTAACAACATTGACCTTTGACCTCCTCTACTCACCCTCCTGCTGGAGTTGGCGAAGGCGGTTCTGACCAGCAAGGTTAGAGTCGTCACCACTACCGCTGAGGTCACCCGCGTCATCCTGGCTGACCCGGGTTCACCACCACCACACCGTGAGAAATGTGAAGAAAAGGTCAGATGAGGTCAAGACGAGGTCGAAAAGCCGCCCAGTGGAACCTGAAAAGAGAAATGACAAGATGAGGAATATTATGAAGGAAACCTGTGATTCCTGATACACGATCTCTCTTTATTCCTATATGTTAGTTTATTATATTTTTCTCCTAGTCTTATTTTTCTCCCATTTTCCCTTATTCAATTTTATCTTCATTTTTCATCCTGTCCGTAATTCTTTCTTTCTTTCTTTCTTTCTCTATGTGACGGAGTGCAAGAATCATCGGAACAAGAGGAGGTTTATTAGTCATTAGTGTCTCAAGGTGTTCAGAGAGGCAGGTGAACAAGATGTGGAATTATTAGTCCACCAATAAGGAGGGGGATAATGACTGCTCTTTATCTCTGTCTGTCTGTATGTATGTATGTATGTATGTATGTATGTATGTATGTAGCCTATGTATGTATGTATGTATGTATGTATGCATGTATGTATACTTGTCTGTCTGTTCTAATCTTATCACTCAACATACACCAAAAAATCATTATATTGAGCACAAGTTTAATAGTTAGAGAGTAACAGAAATTTAAATTCTTTATATTGACGAAAATAAAATTATGACGATAAGCGAATACTAAAAGCGTATATATATTGTTGAGCGAAAAAAAATTGCTATTATTTTCATTATTGTAGTTAAATATAAATTATTTCTACACGTGTCTATTTAAATAAATATTAATAAAAAAAATGTTTTGTATACAATTGAGGTTAATAACAGGTGGGTGGGTGATATAGCTATGGGTGAAGGGAGGGACTGGGTAGGTGGGCTCATGGGTGGTGGGATAAGGGAAAGGGTGGGAGGATGGGTAGGTGGGGGGGGTGGAGTCAAGGTGGAACAGGTGAGCCACGATTGGTTGATCACGATGGTGGTGAAGGTGACCGGATGTGACGTCATTAGGAAAAGTAGGTGGCAATAGGAGGGTTGGTCTCTCTCCATAAAATATAATGACCAGCCCATCACACAAACATAATGACCAGCCCCACAACATAATGACCAGCCCCACAACATAATGACCAGCCCTCACAACATAATGACCAGCCCACCACACAACATAATGACCAGCCTCACAACATAATGACCAGCCCACCAAAAACATAATGACCAGCCCCCACAACATAATGACTAGCCCCCACAACATAATGACCAGCCCCCACACAACATAATGAGACCAGCCCACCACACAACATAATGACCAGCCCACTGAAAACATAATGACCAGCTGGCTGATCAGAATTCCCCTCCCCCACCCCTACGGTGTTGTGTCGTTAATGCCCGTAGTTACGCCAGACGCTCCCTACTAAACCTAATTTTACTTCAGTCCTCCGTTCTATTTACTGCCGACCGACGTTCTCTATGTTCGTCTATTCTTTTACTGTCTGTCTGTCTGCCTGTCTGTCTGTCTGTCTGTCTGCCTGTCTGTCTGTCTGTCTGTCTGTCTGTCTGTCTGTGTGCTTATTAGCCAATGTTCGTAACTCTTGTTCTCATTCTCTCGACGGATTACGTGTTAGATAGAGACAAAGAAAATCAGAGAAAGTTAAAATATGAGAGATAAATAAAGAAAAAGGTAAAATAAACAATGAAAAGGAAAGGAGAGATAAAGAAAATGGGAGAGAAAGAATGAAGTGAGATATGGCTAAAAGAGAGAGAGAGAGAGAGAGAGAGAGAGAGAGAGAGAGAGAGAGAGAGAGAGAGAGAGAGAGACATCTGGCAGAGTAACAGACAGACACCGTCAATCAACTATCGGTACAGTGTGGGGGCTAACATTAAATTACGTTTAGTTGAGAAAGTCTGACGTAATCGAGGATAGTAGTGACGTAACACAATATAGTTGTCTGAATCTGAGAGGTCGGCTGGTCGTTTTGTCCAATAGGCAGTTAATTTTGTCCGGTTGGGGTTGGTCATCAGAAGGGGGTGGTCTTTTGTCCGATGGGTTGATCGTTTTCTCCGGTTGGATAAATCGTCTTGTTCGGTGGGATGGCAGTTTTGTCCGATGGTCGGTCGTATTGTCCAATGGGTTTGATCGTCTTGTTAGTGGGGTTGGTCGTCTTGTCTATTGGGTTAGTCGTCTTCTTAGGTGGGTCGTTTGGTCAGGTCTGATTAAGTCGTCTTTTCCGCTGGGTCGGTCGTTTCATCCAATGGCCCAGTACTTTTTTCCCGATACGATAGTCAATTTGTCTGAAAAATTGGCCGTTTTGTTGCCATGTTTTGTCGTGAGGGCATAAGAGAGAGAGGAAAGTTAGGGACCGTAATTGTTATTTTTTTTTGTCTCTTCCTTATTCTCTGTCTTCCTCACTATCTCTCTCTCCCTTTATCTTTTATTTTATCTCTTTGTCTATCGATTCGTTTGTGTCTCTATGTCAATCGTTCCCTCCTTCTGTTTCTTCTTCACCCTGTCTCTCATCCTTCATTGTCTCTCTCTCTCTCTTTTTCCATATCCTTTGTCACTTTCTCTCTCATCTTCTCTCTCTCTCTCTCTCTCTCTCAGCTCTCATCATCCAGCCTGGGCATCAATTATGAACTTAATTACTAGGTCCTAATATCTTAATCACTCCCACTCAAAGTCATTCTCCCATTTACAGCGAAATTCAAAAGACTGCTTCCGAGAATTTCTGAAGAAGAAGAAATTCGGAAAAAAAAATAATATTACTCTTTATGAGAATTTCATTATCTGAATAAATTTTAAATATTTGTTTTATATATTTCTTGTGGTGGGATTGAATAAATTAAATACATTTTCTTTCCACATTTAACAATTTAAACCCAATTTATCATTCTTAATCATTTATGAGAGTTTCGACCTAAAATGCCTAAAATGCTACAAGTTCAAGTTCCTACTTCCACTTAGCCGGAGGTTATTATTATTATTATTATTATTATTATTATTATTATTATTATTATTATTATTATTATTATTATTATTATTATTGCTGCTGCTATAATTCTCTTTAACCTTGTCACATGTTTTAGCTTATCACGACAGATGGGTTTAGACTATACTTAATGTTACAGGAAATTTCTCTTATAATTTCCCTAATCATCTGGACAAAACAGGAAAAATCGTAGAATAACAAAAATATCACCTAAATAATTCCAGGACAGTATATCATCAATCCGAATATATTAAAAAAACTACGGAAACAATATGAACACTATGTTAGCATTAAGAGCAGAGCCCCTCATCTCATTTTCTTTTCCATGGTAGTGAGGGGATATAGAAAACGGGAACTGGGATAAATATTACTTGAAAAAATATACAATCTCAATCTTAGGGGAACATTTTATCTATTTTACAGATCAGGGTCGAGAATGAGAAGATCCAGAAAATATATTTGTTTGTTTTTTTCCTCTGAGTAAATACCGTAGGCCTTAAAATCTACGAGGTAGGGAGCGAGGGGGGTGAATGGGTGACTACTGTAAACACAATAACATTCAGGTTGAGTTGGAGGTTGGCAGGTCAAGCGGTAGTGGTGATAATGGTGATGGTGGTAGGGGTGGAGGTGGTGGTGTTGGTGGTAGCAATGGTGGTAATAGTAGTGGTGATAATAGTAGCAGTAGTAGTGGTGGCAGTTGGTGTTGGTGGTATTAATGATATTGCTAGTAAAAGTAATGGTGGTGGTGGTGGTAGCGATGGTGGTGGCAGTGGTGGTAATAGTGGAAATGGTAGAATTGGCAGTGGTGGTAGTCATGGCAGTGCTGGTAATAATGATGGTGGTAGTAGTGGTAGATCAGGTGTCATCGCGGGGGCCACTCTAGCCTTACCATGCCTCATTGACTGTCAACTTTCACCTCTCTCTCTCTCTCTCTCTCTCTCTCTCTCTCTCTCTCTCTCTCTCTCTCTCTCTCATTATCATACCTATACCCTCTTATTCTCCTATCCTCCCCATCTCCCATCCTCTTTCCCACTACTTACTATACGTATTCCACTTTCCTCATTGCGGTTTAATTCCCGTCTTCCTCCTTGTCCCTCTTATTCACTTTGTATCTTCCCTTCCTTCCTTCCCTCTCCCTTTTCCGAGTAATTCTCCCGATTTTCCTTTTGTCCACCTCTTCCTTACTCCCTAACTACTGCTCTACCACTTATCACTTGTCCATTTCCACTCGTCCTCCCCTCCTGCCTTGCTTCTTCCCTTCTTCTCTCAATAGTTTGTACCATCCCCACACATTCTCTCTCTCTCTCTCTCTCTCTCTCTCTTTCTCTCCACCGTAACCTCCATCCTCCTCCAACTTTCTCTGACCTCCCACTACTCTCTCCTAACATGTCCCTCTCCTCTCCCTCCTCCAATACCCCCTTCCCTTATCCCTCTCCAAACATCCCCTCCCCTTCCTCCAACACCCTCCTTCACCCCTGGAAAGCTGTCGTTACCACCCACAGTTCACTGGTCTTCTCACACCCACACTAAAACGCCTATCCAGTTCCAAGATAATAATAGTGTGGCCCTTTGTTTGCATACGTCCAATTTGAGAGATATAACTTGAAAGAGAATCTAAAAAAATAACAAGTACACATTGTCAAATTATTCCTTTTTTTTTCCCTAAAGGAAGAGTGAGGCGGCTGGAGGCGGCTCTCGTCTTGTGTATTATACGATTTTCATTTGTTTTCGTTGTGTTTTTATTTTTTGTTACCGTTGAGTGAAAATATGAATTCAGATTAATTTCGAAACAATAGTCCAGGTATTAGTTTAATCAACAGGTAGAGTTAATAAGGTAACATCAGTAGTACCTTATTATTATTACTCCCTCATCGAAAGGCAAGGTGGGAGAGAATGATAATTTATTAGATGATGCGTTCGTCCATCAGTAAACATTTGGTGTCTGGTCATCGTCTTTCCACATTATCCAACAAAAAATTAAGGTATATATTTCGGTGTAAAAATGCCTCACCACAATCTGCTGCTGAGACTCATTATGCCAGAGTTAACTATTATCGTCATTGTATATTTGTTTATTTATTTTTGCTGAGCCGGTTATTTATTTTGTGTGTACTGTCATGGTCAGGCGAATACTAAC